TGTGAAATGCATGTCTTGATGTTCTTATTCTACGTCTCTAATTTTAGCAAGTTGAAACTCTGTTGGCAGCTTCTACAGTAGTAATCTAGCATCTATTATTTTTGTGGAATCAAACCTCTCATTTTTTCATCTTGAAAATTACAGATGCCCATCATCTGTAAACTTATCTGATATATTGTAGCACTTAGTAATAAACATGGTTAAAACAACGATGGCAACATAAATCAACCAGATCTTCCAGGCCTCCAAATAATCCTATTATGTTTATCGAACAATAGTTAAGTTATTTTTTTAATGTATCGATTTGAAAACAAATTACCGAATGTCCAATAAGATGAGAAAACAAACCTTTGTAGCAATTGATAAGAGAAAAATATAAACATCACAAGGTGAAGAATAGCACAGTATAAAGTATTCGGAAGTACAACTTGCACCACCAAAGTAATGATTTCATCGATCTTAGATAGGCCTGCAATAATTCATATCCATACAATTGTATTCGCTTTGTTCGACTTTAAGTGCTCTCATTAGAATATCATACATCTGACTTGCCGACTGTGGTATTAAATAAAAGCGAAAGGTTCGCCAATCTCTAAGCGTAACTTATCAGAGTTGATTATTTGCTAGTAATTAGCCACGATACTCAGATTTGTTGGTCAGCTTTCAATTTTAATAACGCAAAAAGCGTGGCTTCGTCTCGGCCGAATTTTTCTATTTGTTGATTTAAGATAGCGCCACTTTATAACAACGCGTAAATAATCTGATGTAAACTGCTTAAGTCGTTAGGATAACAATGAGAAGTAAAAAACAAAACGTCGTTGTATTTAATTAATTTAGTTCTTTCTTTGCCTATCCAAATGCCGAGAGATGAAGCAAGGGCAAACGCTAGCTATGTATCAATTTTACTGGTCACATTGGACCTCTATGAATAGAAATGTATACCTAATCTTACATTTCCGGTTTCCTACATTTGATACACCTTTCGACGATACCACGCTGACCGCATTATAAACAGGCGCTTTATGGACTCCATGAAAAAAATGGGATTATAACACATGGTTGCACGTATACAAGCATGTAAAATGTAGACACTAATAATTAAGCCAACAGAATAATTTTTGATCCGATTATAGGTAAGCTTGCAGCTTCTTGTGTATAGGCAAGGTCTATTAAACGTATACAACACGCACATGCTACAGAATCGCTTTGTCTTCACAAATAATAAGATGCTAATGGAGGTTGTAATGTCGGTGTGTTGATATGGATATGATGCTCTAGGCTAGTAATATATGAGCGATGTTGCTCTCTATAGTTGAGGAACATAATGCACACAAGTGTATCAGTCCGATATTATTATCCTAAATAGGATGTGGGGTGCAACATATGCGATTGCACCATTGTGATGTATAAGGTAAAAGGACTTAATTAAAAGTTAGATATATTGATACTGAGTTTACCTTTCCAACCTATGGCTCCCGTTAGTCCTATCTGCCCTCGCCCGCACGTCTTTTCCCTACCACCCATTTAGAGTCAAACCCAGTTTCTCTATTCTCTATACACCGTCAATCATGAGCGAAAGTCGCGCTTTGCACAAGAGCAACATATGTCGACACGTCGTTTTCCGACACTCCTCCTCGTGAGTGCTGCGATGCTCGGCTCCCCCGCGCCGTATGCGTGCGTTACGATGCACATGTCCCACGCCATCTCTTGACTTTCTCCTGGACGCGTCTCAATGTTCCTAGGCGAGGTGCATTAGGCCGCGCAGTGTCGCGAGCTTTGGCACACCCATGACTTTAGTCATTAAATCCGCGAGCATGAGCTTCGAGCGGACGTACTGGGTCTTCACAATTTTACGGTGCGCGAAGTCACTGATGAACTTGAGCCGCACGTCGATGTTCTTGGCCTTCAGGCTCGAGGCTTCTCCATCGATCTGGCTGATGGCCGCCTAATTATCCACGCGCATGATCATGGTGATAACCGGCGCCATGTCGATCTCGCGCACCATCTCGCGCAAGCCGACAAGGTCACGAGCCATCTCCGACGCGGCCACAAACTCTACTTTCATGGTCGTGAGGCTGACGCCGCCCTGCTTTCGCGCCGACCATGACACCGCCATGCCGTTTAACCGCACGACTCCTCCTGTCATCGACTTGCGGTCTTCTTTGTCTCCCGCGAAGTCTGCGTCGCTGTACATCTGAATCTCCAGCGCGTCGCGAATCTTTTGCGCAGGCACCATCGTAAGTTTAAGGCCAGCAGCCCCCCTTGAGGCACCTCGCGATGCGCTTCGCAAGTTTCCAATCGTGGAGCCGCGGCGCATGAGTCTGCCTGGTGACCTTATGGACCGCGAACGCGAATTCCGGCCTCAAGCACCGTGCTACCCAGAGAAGGCATCTACAAGCGACAGGAATGCCTTTATTATAGCGCCACCGCTCGCACTCGTCGTGTCAAGCAATGCTGTTTCCGCGGGTAGCACCTCGTAACAATCGTCGCCGGTAGGTGTCTTAGTTCAATTTGCATCCGACCTACCGTGCGCATGAAGTAATTCTTTTATAGCTTCTTCTTGATCAATCTTGTACGCCCCGTCTTCTTCTAGATCCACCTACATACTGAGAAATTGTGGATGCTCTCGAGGTCGTTGATCGACAGCGTCTTTAGGCTCTCAAAAAGCCTATCGACTGCCTCTACGCACGTGCCAGTGGCCAGCAAGTCGACGACGCACACTCCGACAATGACCAGCTCAACACCGTCTCTCTTCCAATATAGGCACATGACGTACAATCACCTTTCGAATTCGGCTTGTGCGAGCCGCGCACGCAGCAACTGGCTCCATAGCTTTCCAGCCTGCTTAAGTCCGTATAGGATTTTGCGTAGCTCTAGTAAGACTTCGTTTGCGTTTGTAGCACCGAGTCTTCGAGGCGTTTCGATGGACACGCTCATGCTGCGCGGTACATGCAAGCATATCTGTAGGTGCGCCTCCTTCTCAGCCTTGACATACGCTTCGGGGATGTCGCCATGCTCGGCCGGCTCCCCCACGTGGATGCAAGTGCTAGAATAACCTGTACCGTCGAGATGTCCATCACGGCGGCAAAGTTCAAGTTGTAGTCAACCCCAAGCACCTGCTCGTTGCCACAGGCGACAATCCGCGACTATTGCCGTTACAGTTTACCATCCTCGCCAGGCTTGGTCTTGTAGACCCATATCGAGTGTAAAGCATTCAAGACGGATCTTTGCTCGATGACGCGCTAAACTTCATTGTCTTTCAGCGCCGCGATCTCTTCTTGCATTGCTGTTTGTCATTAGGCGCGCTTATTGCTGCGCATCGCTTCGCCGTAGTTGCCTAGGTCCTTCTCAAACAACACATTGACAATGTCGGCGTTTACGGGGGGCTCCTCCTGCTTTGCTATTGCTCCCGCGCGCTAAAAACGCACCGCGAGTCGCATAAGGCTCTTTTTGCCACTTCTTCGTTCGTTTAGGCGCACTCTTGCGACCTCGTGTTGCCAGCTGATGTCAATGTGGTTTGTTCTGCGCTTGTTTGTGCAATTCTCGGGTCTGTGTCTGCATTGACGCTGTCGTCGTCAACTGGACTGCTAATACCACGCAACAGTAGCGCGTTCTTCACCTCTATGAGCGTCTCGATGTTTCGAATGTGCTGCGTGGTGATGACGGTGCTACTCCTTTTTATGTATATCCTGTAGCCCTTCGTCTGGTCATTGTGGCCAATGATTGTGCCCTTCTCGGACCGCCGCTGCAGGAAGTTCTTTCCTGGGTCTTGTCATACGTCGCACGTCGATCCAAACACCACGATGTCCCGCATGTCCGGAACCGTATGAGTAAGCACCTCGAGAGGCGATGCGCGCTTTGCGTTCGCGCTTGTCAGACTCTTATTGAGTATACAGGTGGCGTATCTGACCGCATCGCCCCAAAAATGCAGCGGTAAATTGCACGTCAAGATCATTGAATGTGCCATGTTAAGAACGGTCCGTTGCATTCGCTCTGCTTTTTCGTTACTTGTTTGATTTCTTGGCTCGCTGATTTGACGTGCAACCCCAATTCTCTTGCAGAACAAGTCCACGTTTCGGTATCCCCCCGACATCGGTTCGCAAAACCAATATCTTGCATCCGAAACGTCTCTCAAAAAACGCTAAGAAATACTCAAATTTCTTTGCCGCTTGATACTTAGTCTTCGCTAAATACACCCGACAGTAGTTGCTTTTGTGATCCACAAAATTGACTTGATAGAAATTCCCGAGCCTGGCTCTTTGCATGAGTGGAACTATTAGGTCAGAGCAGATATCACCCTCCACTCGATCTATGGGCGAGTTCGCGCTAGCGTCCTTTTGGCCTTGCGCATTTTTTGTCTGCATGCTTTCCATGCAAGTGACGCACGTCATGCCTCGCTGATCCGTGAGCTCGATTTCCGAGTCAGGATCGCGCGCGATGCGCACGATTGTGTCATATTCGAGGTGACCAAATTGCTGGTGAAAGTGTACTAATGACCCCACTTGCACGTCTCTTTTGTTGTTCCACAGTCATATCCACCTCGAGAGCCGCCATGATCACGTCTAAGGCTCCCTCTTCATATCTTACTGCAGGTGTCTCCACGTATAGTACTTTGTTGATCATTTTCAGATCAAAGGCGATCTCTCCATCGCTGCGCCGAACAAGCGATCGCTCAGCGCCCTTGTACACAAATACAAACCTCTTTAGCTCAAGCTGCCCGTACGATATTATGTTACGAGCGAGCTGTGGCGTCAGGTACATGTCTGTGAGCGTGACCGTCCTTTCTTTCCCACCGGCGACAGCCTGCAGCTTCACATTTCCGACTTGCGTAAGCTCAGGCGCTTCCCGTCTGCCATCGCAATATCGTAGCTGCATTCGTTTGCATTACGCAGCAGCGTCGCATCATGGAAGAGGTGTCGGCTCGAGCCGCTGTCGAGGATCCAAGCGCTTTTGTCGCTGGCGCCACTGTTGCCTATCGCGTTCACCGACTCTCTCGCTGATCATTGCTTACGCCCATCCCGCTTTCCACGCGACCGCGGCTTGATGTCGGTTACGGCCAGCACCATACATCTGTCACCACCACCGCCGTTATTCTTTTTCTCCCACCGCTGTGATTTCCGCTCATTTAGAGCGGCGGTTCGCTTAGATGTGGCCAGTTTTGCCACACTCATAGCAGCTGCGCGATTCTTTCCGCTGCACTGGCGTGTCGACGTGCGCTGCCACGACTTCGCGACAGACCGACGTCGCTGTCGGCTCGATCGACTGCGCAAAGTGCGCCAGATCCTCCGCAGGGCGATTATGTTCAACTCGATTTGGATCGTACTTTTCCTTAAGCACCAGCGCGAGCTTGGCCGATGCGAAATTGACTATGTTGTCAAGCACGAGTTCGTCGGCGCCGCCTCGAGCGTCACCGACCGCCACGAGGTACAGGAAGTGTTCCGGCCAGCTGCGCTTTGGATCCTTGCGCTGCGAAGACAGCTTCATCGCCTGAGCCGCCGTGATGGACGTCTTGAATGTCGCAAGTATGCGTCCCATTACGTAGTCAAGCGTCGGCTGCTGTAGACACCACGTATCCACTTGTTTGTGATAGTACCTATCGGCCGTACCACTTAAAAAGTGACCAAGCAGGTTCACTTTCACATCTACGGACCAGAGGATGTCATACGCAGCATGAACCATGCTCACTTGTCGCAAGAAAGGCCGACCCCAGCCGAAGAAACCGGATCTCAGTCCGCGATAAAGCTCTGACCCATCAAACTTTATGATCGAAAGCTTTCGCTGGTGCGCGTCTGGCGTCCCGACGTGCATCTAATGATACTGTTGCATCGGAGGCGTCGCTGCCGCTCGAGATACTCCATGTACGCCAGCTGCGTGTTCTTTCGTCGTCGCCGAGGCTGGCACTGCCGCAGCAGGTGACACGCGGGCACGCACTTGATGCGGTCGCGGTGGTAGGGCCGGGAATCGAGGTCCATGTAGGAAAGAGACCTGCAACGAAGAGAGAAAATGAAAAGTGAATATATATTAGCGTTGTTAGTCTGGTTGATACCTACTTCTTGAAGATCTTTCCATGGTATCTGAAGAGTCGTCCTTGAATCCCATAAATCTTCGCATGTATCCCAACAGTCGTTCCTGTCCGCGAAACGGTTCAGTGCATGAGCCTCTTTCACTGAGACGCACCACACAACTTCAAGAAGGATGTCATGTGACTTCCAATACTCCTCTCGTTTCAGTGAAACAGCACTAAATCGATCGCGTCGCACAATTCTTAACGTCGGGGTGCTGGGAGAGGCTTCGTCAGTAAATCAGCAAATATAGCTTCCGTGTCTGCAAACTCCGTCTTTATTTGCCTTTTGTAGCGTGGTCGCGTAAAAAATTAAGCTTGATGTCAACATGTTTCCCGTTTGCAGACGCTGTATCGTTGTAAATTTGTTGGATTGCTGCATTGTTGTCAATGCGCAATACGATAGGAGTCTTGACTTGCATGCCAATTTCTAGCATTAGTTTCTTGACCCCCAGTATCTCCACGCCACCAGCCGCAGCAGACACAAACTCGGCTTCTGCAGTCGATAAAGCCGCTGCAGTCTGTTTGCGACAGTGCCAACCAGCAATTAAACCATTGACAAACTGGATGTCAGAGCTTATAGACTTTCGATCGTCCACATCTCCCGCAAAGTCTGCGTCAGTATATGACACAAGTCGAAGAGGAAACTTTGGACCATCGTCGTGCTTCATGTGCAGAAATGTCGTGCGTGTACCACTAACGTACCGGGCAACGCGCTTTGCAAGCTTCCAATTACCAAGAGGTGGTGCGTGGCAACGCCAAGTAATCTTGTGGACTGCATACGCAATTTCCGGACGCGTGCAGCGCGTGAGTCATAATAGGCTACCAGCCAGTGATTGAAACTCTTTGACGGTCGCTTTGTTCGGGAGTGTGGTGCAATTAGCTGGCAGCAACGTCTGGTCCTCCGAGTTGAAAGGTTCTGTAACACCAGTAGGAACACGAATACCATTCAAATTAGAGAGACCGTTCTTGTCGAGCATCTCAACAATTGTTTGTTCTTGATCAATCTTTACGCTCCCATCATCACAATGGAGAAAATGCATGCTCAGGAACTTAGAAAGTGCGCCAAGGTTTTTGAGCTCAAGCACGTGCATATCATCAAAAAACCTATCCAGCACATCGGTCGTTGTACCCGTGACGATAATATCGTCCACGTACACGCCCAATAGCACCGTCTCGTTCCCATCTACTTTTTAAAAAACGCAAGAGTCAGTGATGCATTGTATAAACCAATGTTGACCAGTGTGGACACTAGTAACTCGTTCCAAAGACGGCTAGACTGCTTAAGTCCATATATGCCGCGTCCCAGTTCCAACGCAAGATTCTTGACGCTGTCAACACCAAATTTCTTAAGTGTTGAACCGGAAATGATCAGACCGGGCGGAATCTGAAGCATGATCTTATAGTCTTCTTCGAGTGATGCCTTGACATAAGCACTGGAAACGTCGCCAAGTCTTGCTGGTACACGCCAAATAATCGAGAATATGACGATGGTGCGAATACTGACCATCGAGATGACAGCCGAGTACGTTAACATGTAACTCTATAACCTGTTAGAAAGTAAACATTGAGTATATGAAATGACCTGTATTAAAACGCGCGCCAGACGCGTTCCGGCCACTCGCCAGGGGCCTCGTCAGTGGCTTGTCAACATACAAGTGAGAACTACCCGATGCTATATCTTTGTGCTGCCTAATACAACACATAGAACTCTGTAGAACATTCCATATAATCTTTAGTGTAGGTTGAATCTCTGGAGTCTACCCAAGTGCAACTTGCACTTTCAACAGTCCATGCGACTCAAATGGTGAGTACTTGTGGTCGGGGCCAGGCATACG